AAGCACTGCAAGCCATAAATAGCAAAAAACCGGCACATACACGACCACAACGATACAACAAAATTGAGTAGGGTTAATTACATCGGCTCAGAAACAGTTTAGTGTGTACAGGCACCGTTAAAAATCTGCCGACGATTATCATACCAGAAAAAGTAAAATCAAACCGACGATCTATCCGAAATTACGACAAATAACGAAAATCGTAAATAAATAGAAGAAAACCGTGAAATAAATAAATCGCCAAAATGTACCGTTGTACATACCAACGCCGCAACAATAGTATAACTACCAGGAAAAATTATCGAATCAATCGTAACACCAAATCGCTTAGGAACACATGATTATTACAACCGCGAAATTCGAAAAATGCTAAATTTTACAAAGAATCAATTAAACAATCGATTAGTAATTTATTAACAATATCTTAATACAATCTAGAAAAAGAATAATAGTAACTTAGCTTTATTATTTAATCATTCGAAATATGTAACAACTAAAATGTATTTAAACTACCAAAATTCGCTTTAGCTAAAACTTTGTACGTTATATAGTCTACCCTTATAATTTACCAACATTAATTCAGTTATTTAATTAATTTAGTTAATTTACCCACATTTCCGCTGAAACATTAAAGTTTCATATCGTAAACTATCCTTCGCATATAGTACTGGATACTATAATAGTTAATCAATAACTACGATAACTATACAACTTCGAAAAGTATAATCGCCTACGATATTATAATAAAAGGAACATACGAATATTAGTTTAATGAAATTATACATTACAAAATTATAACCTGTATAATATCTAACGAACATATTATTTAATAAAGAAACATATTTATAAATAATAAACTTTACACTCTTATTAACTATTGAAAGTACTTACTGACGAAGAAGTAATAACTGGTCCATTAACCAGTATACTTACATTTAAAAACTGATAGATTGATCACCTTGACGATTAAACTGCAGACTCTAACGAAATCAACCTTTAATAAGTTATTTTAACACAAACGCATCAAACAGATGAAGATAGTAATATATTTACTACTATCGCTTATAGCTTTCTTAATCTATAACGACCTAGAAAACATATTACAACCAAATCCAGAAACCTACTGCATAATAATTTTAGAAAAAGAGATATTGCAAGAACGACCGAAACAGCACTTACAATCACTATTAGAAAAAAACTTCCAACAAAAGAAAAAGCATACCAATAATACCTATATTACATATTGTTCCAAAGAAATTAATAATCTCAGAAAAACAAAGAATATATTTGCCAAAGCAGACGTAGTAGTACCAATAATACTCACGCCAACAAATACAATACCAACCTCAACTATTGTATCAAGCGCAAATACAAACACGAATACAATACCAAACGCCAAAGAAAAACCAACACAATCTGTACAAATAATTGTAGCAACACCAACAAGCGCAGAACAACAATCTAATAACAATACCTTAGTAATAATAGCAGAAATATTAGGCACAATATTAGCAATATTAACTGTAATAGTAACAATACTTACAATCTGTTATAAAAAACAAAGGAAACGAAAAAGACAATATCGTGCACAATTAGACTTACCACCTGAAGGAGCACAAATAGCTCAAGGCTTACCAAACAATCCGCTTACACAACCAATTCAACCTTTATCTGAAAGAAATTTAGAAGATCTTGCAAAACAATTAAAAACTAAAGGAAAACAAAAAGCCCGACCAAAACGACCACCTGTACAAGGAACAGGAATCAACGGCACAAACCCTGGAAAAAGATATAATTATCGTACTGCAACAGAATACCAATCAGACGGAAACGAATCCGAAGTTACATTTACAACCTGGACATAAATTGGAATTATTTAAAGGAAAAACTCTTGAAAGATTTACCGATAGTTAATGGACAACAATACAATTCAACAATTTGGAATACCACAACAAATAGAAATACAATTACGACCTATTATATTAATACTTATAATACTAACATTATTATTCGGAATAATTGTTATAATTTATACCGCCAAGAGACGCGACGATTCTTCAACACAATAGATCTTACAAACACATAAGAGACAATACATTCTGTAGTAGACTTATAAAACTACTTGATGTAACCAATAACGCCCAAGAAGAAACAATGTCAACCACAATTACTACAATACCACCTTCACAATCTACTGGAATAACCTTCGACAACAATTGCAATACTAACATATTTTCTAACCAACAAACACTAACAATGTTCTTTATTATTCTATTATTAATATTATTTAATCTACTAACAATATTATTATGTTGTTGCACACACCAACGATATAAGAAAAGAACCTATAAAGAGAACCCTCAGATGGCTTATTACGCACAAGAACGCGAACACTGTATACTACTCTAAATGCAAACTGCAACTGAACAACCAAGCGACAATACTATACTCGTTATCACTATCGTAATCATATCTATACTTATATTTGGAATATCATCCCTTATACTTATTACTTGTTACCGAAACAAATCAAGAAAAAGACAACATATATCTGGACCACCTACGTTACCACCAGGAGATCCAAGACTATAAATGCTCAACTTCCTCAACTTGAAAAAGAAAAAGAAAACCCAAGCTCAAAGAAAAGCACAACTCAATCAACAAATAAACCATAATAAAGGCAAATACCTACCAACAAGACAAGAACTTAATCAACCTATATTAAATCCAAATTACGAAAAAGCTTTTAAACTATTTGGAGATTCTATACAAACCAATAACAGACAACACTTTGAACAACGAAGCTTAACCCACTTACAAAACAGATCAACACCCAACTTGAAATATTCAAATAATGCTCTAACGTATAAACCAATAAAACCTGCACCTGACAATAACTTATACAATATATTCCTTCAGAAATATAAATTAAACCAAAAACGAATGAAATATATTGGAGTTACAACTGATGGAACAGCGGAACAAATAATAAACGCTGTAATAAAAACTGGAAGTAATATTATACAGACATTTATGACCTATATACCTATCGAACAATCATACTCTGACAAGATGATGAAAAATTGGATAACATTAAAAGAAGGCAAACCTAATTTAACAAATGATTACAAACTAATCAAGGATATAATAATGACGTACCGCAATTAAAAATAGTAATACACACTTCGATGGGACTGTCAATAAATGACAACTTCTGACAATATAATGGAAATATTAACTGGAAAGTTACCAGAATAATACAAGAAATAAAGCACGCAAAACAAATAGGAAGCAAAGTATATGTATTACATGTAGACACAAGTAATAATACAGGTAATGAATCACGTGATAAACAACAAATCAAACTAAACCTTGAGAAAATACTTAGACAAACACAAGACACACAAGTAATGGTATTACTTGAAAATTCAGCATCAAATAAATGCTATGGAGCTCAGATAGAAGAGCTAATGAAAATAAAGAAAAGTATAAAGAAAGAATTACAAGAATTCAAAGATGAAAAAGGAAATGTACAACCAAGGGTAAAATT